TGATGTTCAGCTTTTTTTTTCCCAATACCGTGCTGTTCTCATTATTGTCACTCTGTAGTGTAATTTCCAGTCAAAGGTTGTGATGCCACCTGCTTTGCTGTTGTTGGGCAGAACTGCCTTTGATAGTGTATGTCTCTTTTCTTTCCAAACGAATTTTAAGATTTTTCTCCAACTCTGTGATATATGCTGCTGGAATATTGAACAACACTGTACTAAATCTAAATAATAATGTTGGAAGTATGTCCATTTTTACTGTATTTGTCTTCCTACCCAAGAATAAGGGACAGCGTTCCATTTTCTAATATCCTCTTTGATCTCCTTTTTCAGAATACTGTAGTTTTCAATGTATAGTTTCAATATAGAAGGAAGTCTCTCACTTCCTCCATTCAAGTGATTGCTAGGTATTTCATTTTTCTTGTGCTATTGGGAAGAGTGTTCCCTGACTCCTCTCTCAGTGAGTTTGTTATTTGTGTGCAGGAAGGCTACTGATTTTTGAGTGCTGACTCTATATCCAACTGGCTACAGCCTTTGCTTATTAAATCTACAAGTCTTTTGGTGGAGTGTTTAGGATCTTCTATATATAGTGTCATGTCACCTGCAAATAATGACAGTTTAACTTCTTCCTTTCCTATTCTATTCATTGTGTACCATACCTCACAGAACCAGACAACATAATCATAGAATTCATATGAATCCAGTAGAGACCTAAAGTAGCAAAAGCAATTCAGGGCAACCAAAGCAATGCATGGGACATCACAATCCCTGATTTGAAGTAATAACTACAAAGCTTCTGTGATAAAATCAGCATGGAAATCGCAAACAGAATGGGACCCAAAGATCAGTGGAATAGGATAGAAGACACAGAAACAACTCCAGGGGCATTCAGTTACCTTGTCTTTGAAAAAGTCACCAAACACCTTCGCTGGAAGAAAAATGGCCTCTATAATAAATGGTTCCTGAAAGCTGACTTTCCTCATCCTGAAGATTGAACCGAGATTCATATCTCTCACTGTGCATTTAACTAAAATCAAAACGGATCAAAGATGTACATATTAGAAAAGAAACATTCAATCTGCTGGAAGATAAAATAGGCAAAACTCTTAAAGACATAGGTGTAGGCAAAGACTTTATGAACAAAATTCCAATCACATAGGAAATATTACAAAGTATCAAACTATTAAAAAGCCTCTGCACAGCAAAGGAAACCACCAGCAGTCTGAAGAGACAACCCACATGATGGGAGAAAGCATTTTACTAAGTATTCCTGGACAATGGAGTAATATCTAGAATAAAGAAAGAACTGAAATAATCAGAATCCTGAAATTTAAAGACCCAATCTAAAAATGGGTGTCTGAAATGAATAGACACTTCTCAGATGAAGAAGTACAAACATCAAATTAATATAAAAATAATGTGCAATTCCATTGGTTATTCAAAACTGCAAATTTAATCAGCACTGAAATTCCATCCGCTCCACAAAGAATCGTAATCATGGAGAAATCAGACAATGACAAATGCTAAAGAGGCTGTGGGGAAACAGGAGCCCCTCTGCACTGTTGCTTTGAGCGTACATTGATAGGAACAATGTGGAAATCAGTGTGGAGATTCCTCGAAAGTCTAAAACTAGAGATTTCCTTTGACCTGCTATTCCCCGCCTTGGTGTCTTCCTCAAAAAGTTAAAAGCATGGTCCCGCAGTGATGTATGCACACCGTGTTTATATAAGCGCAGTCTGCAAGAGCTAAATTATTGGAAAGAGCTGAGAAGACGATGAACAGATGCATGGATAAAGACACTGTGATTTTTAAACACAGCGGTGTCTACTCCGCCTTAAAGGAGGTAAACTTTAGACATTTTTAGGTAAAGGGATCCACCTTGAGATCATACTTTTCTGTGAACTCATCGGACACATCTGTTTCAATACTGCATTGCTTCTCTTCCATGAATGAGGACCGAAATATATAATAGATCTTGGGAGGCAGCCAGACAATGTGGAAGTCGGAGGGAGAAAAGGGGAGGGAGAGGAAGGACGGGAAGGAAAAGAAAGCAAAGATGAGGTTCAGGGAAAGTGGAAGCAATATTTTGTGTACAAGGAGGGGAAGCAGGCTTGAAGACGGAAGGGGAATGGGAAAAACAGACCCCGGACAGGTACGATTTGCCCGTCATGGCTGCGATCGCTGCGTGCATGGAAAGTGTACCAATACGATGAGAGGTACCATGCAGATGTCAGGTGTGCAGAGCCGCGCATATCCGTATTTGCAGTGTGAGAATAAGTGAAGGGAGACGGTTCAGAATATTCCTCCTGCTCTGATGTAACTGTAGGAGCAGAAAAGCTCAGGACGAGCTCGAGACAGCATCGCAGTTGCTGGGACCCTTGCATTCATGCCTACGTGGGCCGCATCTTCCATTAGGCTGATGAAAATTATGTTTGCAATTGGACGTTGCTGTAGTGGCAAACATACGAACTTTAACTAAGTAAACATGTTTCTTTTCCTAGGACCTTCATCTCGGATTGTCAGAGAAATTAGCTAGGAGTCTCGGCCCCGAGTTGCTGTTTCTAGGGGCCAAGTCCGCCTGCACTGGAGTCTCCGAAGAGGAAGGACAGGAAGCCTCTCCTCGGTCCGGACAGAAAGAAGCTCCCGGGCACCCGAGCCCGCCCGCCGAGGCGGGTGCAGGTGACGGTCTTGTCTTCCGCCCTCACAGATATCTGCTCCTGCCCCGGATGCAGCGCTCCCTCGCATTTTTATTTCTAAATGGTACCGGATCGAGCTCAGAACCTTGGGCTTGCGAGGCAGGCGGCAGAACTACGGAGCTAAATCCCGCCCCTTCCTTGGACTTTTTCAGATAGGACTTTAGTTCGGGGTTTGCACTGTTGCTCCGGCACCGACTAATTTTATCCTGAATCGTGTTCTGCACTTGAAATCTATTGGCGATTGCTGTCTCTTTGGTTCCAGTGCCTCCTCCCTCCCTCTCCCAGACGAAATGTGGTCCCCTTAGGCCGCCTGCAGCGCCCGCGCTCGGAGCTCAGAGCGGCCAGAATCCCTGTGCCCAGCTCCGTGTCTCGGGAATGCTCCCCGCAGCCTCGGTCTCCGCTCTCCTCCAGCCTGGAAAGTCCCGTCCGCGCCTGCAGTGTTCAGAACCCAGCCCAGCCCCTCCTCCCCGGTGTAGAGCTCCACCCCGCGGGCCCTCTCCTGAGC